TCACTGCGAGAAGTTCATCAGTGGTTGGGGCTGGATGTCATGGAGGCCTGCATCTTGAGTTGTATTTTATTTATTTCTTATGTCCACATATGCAATGATAGCAGAGGAGGACATTAAGGGCAATATTTACGCATGTTGCCATGGATAACACATCAGCTGTAATTACTTGTATCTTTGGTTGTAAATATGGGGTCTGAGGCTTGCAGCCACCGAGGAGCGCAAGGCCACGGGCGACAACATGGGGAGGGCACATTTCTCAGCCACATCTCCCTGAAGCCAAGGCCACAGCCCTTCCATGATACTACTGACAACTGCATGCGGACACTCACATGGCTATGCCACTACAGAGAGTAATGCGGTTAACATGTGGTCATCCACCTCTTAACCACACACACACACACACTAAGGGCATTTGGTCGTTAGAAGGAGGCCGCAGCCGCACCACGGCTCACTAGGCTAATCCTCCGCCTAGCAGCGCCGGCACACCGGGTTCAAGTTCCGGTCAGGGCGCCAGATTCTGTCCCGGTGGCCCCTCTTCCAGGCCAGCTCTCTGCTGTGGCCCGGGAGTGCAGTGGAGGATGGCCCAAGTGCTTGGGCCCTGCACCCCATGGGAGACCAGGAGAAGCACCTGGCTCCTGCCATCGGATCGGCGCACTGCGCTGGCCCGCAGCACGGCGGCCATTGGAGGGTGAACCAACGGCAAAGGAAGACCTTTCTTTCTCTCTCTCTCTCTCTCATTGTCCACTCTGCCTGTCAAAAATAAAATAAAATAAATAAATAAATAAATAAATAAATAAAAATAAAAAGAAGGAGGCCGCCTGAGAGCCATGGCTGTCTGCTGGTGACAGCCACTTAAGGAGCAGAAGCAGCGTCCAGGAAAACACTTTTGCGTGGTGCCTGCAGCAAGTTTGGTCCTGGCAAATACCGGTAAAGGCCACAGACCTCACCAGAAGCTTGAAGCATGGGGAATCAAGTCCTTCCCAAGAGAACGGAAATGGCTACTTTAAAAGGAGTTTCAGAGCTTTACCCTGTGCAGTGAGATCTTGCCTGTTGGTTACTTGAGCTCTCAGGTGCAGACACAGGGCGGGGGCGGTGGGTCGGGGCAGACCGCAGGAGGCTCCCCAAACTCCCCCAGGGCCGGCTGTTTCCAGAGTCAGTCACAGCAGAAAGGAACCCAGCCTGGGCCTCTCGCTGTTTCAGGGGCTGCAGGGAGGCAGGCTCTGTCTTGAGAGACTCAGCTGCCGTGCCTGACTGTGTTCCTCGGCGCTACGGACTGACCAGCGGGCACAGGGACACGCCCGGGAGGGACGTGGCTCCCAGCAGAGAACCCAGACGGCGGTGCGTCGTTTCTTCTTGGATTCCACGTCATCTGTGCACCTGCTGGCACACTTCTGCAGCCCAGAGCATTTGTGATGAAGCGGCTGGCGCCACAGGAGAGCCTCACAGACGCTCTCGCCCCTTCCCACGTCCACGCTCGGCCAGCGGTGGGCACGAGACCTTGAGAGAGCGTCTTACTTTCAAGAAAAAGGTCTGGGATTTACACGAGCATCCGCGATCACTTACGAGAGCACGGGGAGGCAAACGCCGTGAGGGAAGAGGGCTGTGGCGGAGAAGGGCTGGGCACTGGGGCCAGCTGTGCTCTCTGTGGCTCCCTGACCCGACCTGGGCTTGCAAGGCCAAGGCTTTTTCCCAGCTTCCTTCACCGGTATTTGCTCAGACGCCACAAACAGCTGTCACCTCATCACGCCCAGGAACGCAGGTGAGGTGGGCCGGTGGCCGGGGCCAGCAGTGGTGGGCAGCCAGCCTGCAACAGGTACCCCAGGACAGAACCGCACCTCCCTGGAACTGGGGATGGCCGACTCCACAATGACGTGGGTGAGCTTGGATGGGATCTTAGATCATACACATTTACTGGTTACTATCTCAGTCACAAAGCTAAGGTGTCTAACGGGAAGTGAAAAGGAGAGAGAAAACAGGAATGGAATTCTGACTTTGAATCATGGAACATTTAACCCTCCTCACTCACTACCTTGGAATTATCAGACTCAAAACATTTCTTGGGGGGCAGTCCCATGAACTTGAAAACTCAAACCACGGTAGCAGCAGCGACGAAGATGCACAGTATGAATGATACGTCTGATGTTCGTCTTCGCGGAAGTTGGACTCTAAGCAGGGAAAAGCCAGTTCACGCGGATGAACTGGCTGCCCACACTCTGGCTTGATAACGGGAGAGTTGAAGATTTTGTTTTTCTTTTAACATTCCCTCTGTCTGTGCAATGGGACTATCAGTTCCAGCACGACCCTCTCAGACACTGGCAGAATGACACGGTGAGACCACAGGAAAGCCCAGTGGATGTACACATAAGAAGCTAACGCACTGAAACAATTTAACTGTATCAACTACAAGAAGCTGGAGAACACACGTTAGAATTTCAATGATCTACTTTTAGGAAAGACGGCACATTACAAAATCACGTTTTAAAGCATACTATAAATCTATTTATTGCTTTTGCTATTGGAATTGTAACTGTATAAAGCCAGCAAGTTGAAAAAAAAACCCATCTCATAACACTCTTGTCTTCCCTGTACTACCAGGCCAGCTCTGAATAGATGCTGGGGCAAAAACAAAGCTGTCCACTGTGTAATAGTGACTTTCTACAAGATAAACTTTTTTTTAATCCAAAAGGAAAAAAGGCCTGCATTTTAATATTTCCACAATGATTATTTCATTTCATGTATCTGAATTAATATTTAGAAAATATTTTTTACAGTTTAAAAAAAATTCACTTACACAAAGAGAGACAGTGAGAGGGGAAGGGAGACCTTCCATCTGCTAGTTCGCTCGTCAAATGCCTGCAGCAGCCAGGGCGGGTGCAGGCCGACACCAGGAGCCAGGAGCTGCATCCTGTTCTCCCACACTGCCTCCCCAGGTGCGACAGCAGGGAGCTGGATCAGAGGCAGAGCAGCCAGGAGTTGAGCTGGTGCTGATACGGGACGCCCCTGTTGAAAGGGGCCGCTTAACTGGTTCAGCTACAGTGTTTTCAGCCATGCAACGCTGTTCCATCTGAGCTTACGTTGCCCGGATTCCAACAACACCCCTCCCCTCAGTAGCTCAGTGAACTGTGGCAAATAAACGTGGCCTTCTTGGACTCAACCTCCCACTTTATAACTGGGGACTAGTGATTGTACTTTTTTTTTTCTTTACAGGCAGAGTGGACAGAGAGAGAGACAGAGAGGACAGAGAGAAAAGTCTTCCTTTTGCCGTTGGTTCACCCTCCAATGGCTGCCGTGGCCGGCGCACCACGCTGATCGGATGGCAGAAGCCAGGTGCTTCTCCTGGTTTCCCATGGGGTGCAGGGCCCAAGTACTTGGGCCATCCACTGCACTCCCTGGCCACAGCAGAGAGCTGGCCTGGAAGAGGGGCAATCGGGACAGAATCTGGTGCCCCGACCGGGACTAGAACCCGGTGTGCCGGCGCCACAAGGTGGAGGATTAGCCTAGTGAGCCACGGCGCCGGCCTGTACTTGTCTTTTAAAGCTGCATCTGATAATGACTTTAGTAAATGTAATATTCTTAGATAATAAATGCATGAGACGTGATACGTGATATGTATTTCAATATCAAGGCACTCCAAAATACTTAAGGAAAATCAAATTGAAAGGTAAGGTTATGATGGTTCACGTACTTGATCCCCTGTCACCCAAATCAGAGACCCAAATGCAGTTCCAGGCTCTAAGCCTGGGCCTGGCCCAGCCCTGGCTGCTGCGCCCATGTGAGGCGTGAACCAGCAGATGGAAGCTCGCTCTCTCTACCTTCCAATTAGTTAATTAAGTAATTACTTAAAACAATAAGACATTCAGAGCCAGGACTACCCAGGGAAGAAGAGGACAGAAGGATCCCCCAAGGAAGCCTCCCCACTGTGCTGCAGAGGCGGAAGGGAGCGTAAGCTCACAGCAGCGGGGGGCGGTGTCTCCCAGCAGCTCCTAACCCCACACTGCGGTATCATCAACTCTGGCATCCGGGAAATGAAGCATCAACCAAGGCACTGTCAAGGCCCAGCCGACCGCTTCCAGGGCTTGGCTAGGCCTGAAGGAATCCCAGACGTGGAGATACACCGGAGAACGTCCTGGAGTTTATGTCCATGGACAGTGAACCCACACAGGGAAACACAACTGAAAATCACAGATTTTTTTTTTTTTTAAGATTTATCTTTATTTGAAAGGCAGAATGACACGCAGAGAAAAACAGAGCGAGAGAGCGAGTTCTTCCATTTGCTGGTTCACTCCCGAAGTGGCTGCAATGGCTGGAGCTGGGCTAATCCGAAGCCAGGAGCCAGGAGCTTCTTCTGGGTTTCCCACGTGGGCACAGGGGCCCAAGCACTTGGGCCATCCTCTGCTGCACTCCTAGGTGCTTTCGCAGGGAGCTGGATCAGAAGTGGAGCAGCCAGG